CACACACACACACACACACACACACACACACACACACACACACACAATGGGGTTTCAGATCTGACTGAAGATCTGTCTTCTTGAGTTTCCCTTACTCTGGTTTCTATTCCAAGTCCCGAATCAGAGAGGCCGTGGTCTTGTTGTGGGGGGAAAGGAAAGCAGGGGTTGTTAGAGGAGGAGAGGGAAAGGGGCCCCACTTTAGAGGAACTGCTGTCTGGCAGTGGAGGTCAGCTCAAGGGTAGAATACTTGTGTTGGAGTCAGGGAGAGGTGAGGAGGGCTGAAATCATGTTAGCTTTATTCTCCCCTCCTCCTCCTCTACTCTCCTGACTGGGAGAGCATAAATTCATTTAATCCTGTTTTTCTGTGGATTCGCTCAGCCTTTTGGGCTACTGTTGCCATGTTCTCCAACCACAGCCCCCGGGCTGCATGGGGAGGCTTAGGCAGCATTGCAAGTGAGGCAGAAGGCAGTAAATGATAATATCCTTGAAAGGAGTAAAGAGCCCAACAATGACATAAATAAAAACAAGAGAGAGGAGATGGGAGGCCAAGTAAAGGTCAGGAAAAAATGGCCTTAGATAGAATATCCTCCAAAACATACTGATGAAAAGAAGAAACCTATTGTCCTCATTAACTGCGTTTTATTCAGTAACCACCCACAGACACCTGGTTAACACATGCTGCTGTTTTTGCATCCTTAGATCTCTTAGCCATCTCCAAGCATCAAGTTGTGTAATCTATGCACTCTTTTCAGTAAACATGGTTGCCTTGATGAAGAAAGGCAGTGACTGACTTGTTCAACGTGCAAAAGAGTGCTTAACAGCACCGCTGAAAGGGCTAATATTTTTAACACCTAGATGGAGTGTTAAAATTCACACCTTACAGAATGTTTTTCCTCCCCTCAGACAACAAAACCATTTTCAACCCCACTGTAAGCTTTCCCTGGAGACGTTTACTGTGCTGCTCCATAATGAATTACAAAAGCTATCTGTCAATTCAATGTTCATGTTGTGTTGCTGGGTTTTCTTGAACTGCTTTGAGCCAATATAGCCATATTAAAAAAAAGAAGAAGCTGAAGATGACATGAGAACTTGATATAAAAACAAGTGCATGGGTGAGGTTTTGCAGTATGCAGCAGACACATGTTTCAAGATGTGCCATTAATCTATTTCTGAAAAAGAAATGCAAAAAAAGGCAAAGTTGAGAACTGGTAAAACAGAGGGAATAAAGTGTAGCACACAAACGGATCATCAAAATGATTCTCCTTTGAACAAGGACGATTACGGGCAATAAAGCCAAACCCAGAGTACCCAGGTTCACCCCAAAGTCAAGATAAGTCAGGTTAAAACCTGCAGCCAAAAAAATCCATTGGTTTGAAGTGCAACCGAATCCCAGAATCTCAATGAGAACTGAAGAGTGCGTGTTTCTCTAAGTTGTATTATGTATTTGTTTGGGGTGGTTTTTCTCTTTAACACTTGGAAGTACAAGGCAATTATTATCCAAACATAACGACACCAGATAGTCACGTGAAATTAAATAATTAAGTGTTGTAATTATGTTTGCGTAATGTGAATATTAAAAGCCCAACAAGGGATGAGGGTTAAAAATGAGAAATAGCTAGAAACTCTATGTGCAGCATATCGGTTTCTTGCTCCAATTCAGAACTTTATAGTCTTAGAGAGTCCTTCTATGCACTTCTGTCAGTGTTTTTACTGTCATTATTGAATGGATCAGAGAGATTAATAATCACTGCCTTATATAAGAACTCACAGATGTCAGCAAATCCCTGGAGGGAAATTGCCAAAATTATTGGAAGTACAAAGAAGTGGAAAATCATGTTTGCTTCAAAAAAATCAACAACAACAAAGAATTGGCACCCAAGAGAGTGGGAAAAAAAAGTCTTGTGAGTTTATTTGTTTCTATGGTGGCTGGCACCACATATAAAGCACTGGGGCTCGACCACAAGGCAATTAACACCACGGAAATGAAGCATGAATGATGGCAACGGCGTTAGCTACTTACGTCGGTTATGCCGTAACCCCGACAAACTGCAGACGTCTAAATCTGTTAGTCTTAAAGACCAACGTCTGATTTAGAAGAAAAAAGGAGATGGAGCTGAAGATTCTGTTTTCAAGAAAGATGGGATTTGCATTTGCACAGACTCAGTGCATGTTAATAGCCTCTGAAAATGGAAGACTATGGAAAAAAAATAAGTGTAATTCCTAAACAGGTAAAAGAAAACTTTTGTTAAACCTTTTGAATTTAAGCTTAAAGTCTCCAGTCCCAGTAAAATAAATATCTATTTATGTGTAGGTAATGGTTTCCTTTTAAAATAACATTAACACTGAAAAATGACTGAATAATGGTAGAAATTGAATAATGATCTTAAACTGGGTTTGAATAATAGGCCCTATATTTTGTCCCATGTGGCTGATCGAATCTCTGAATGTCTTCCAAAAGGACAGCATTATGTGCACACCATCAGCAGCTTATAACTTTAGGAATGTGGTGCAAATTTTTCATCGTGCTGTGCAATTACAAGACATCATCCAGTTGGAGTACTCAGTTGGAGTATTAAACTTCACATATCTTGCAACATAAGTACAGCATCCATCTTTTGCACTGTGTGAAAAATGAGGTGGCTTACAATAACTAGGTAAGCTGTTTCCCACACCACATGTAAATTTCCAAAAATCATTAGAAGGAGAAGAAGACAAAAAAGGATTCCAGGAAATACAGTGGAAACATAAACTCGCATAGTTTCATAGTTTAACCGAGAATGTTTTTCTTCAGTCTACATTGCTGAAGTCTCCGTGTGGATTGCCTGCTCTCACAAACCCTCATTTGGTTTCCACGCACAGCCATGTTTGATTCATGGTGCTGAACAGATGAATGCATTCTAAAAAACTAATGCTGCAAGCAGAAAATTCTCTCATTTGAGATGCCGGGTTTTCTAAAAATTTGATGCGTCTCTAACATATGACGTCAGTTACCCTTGACATCGCTTGCTGGGTGAGATACAGTTGGTCTTTGCAGCTCTGCATCACTTGCCAAGTTTATCAAAGTATTCTGTTTTTTGTTTTCTTTGGCCTATAAGAAGTGGAAACTTTGCAACGAAAAGGAAGGATTACATTTGACATGTCAAAGTATTTTATGTCACCTTCTAGGGTATTTTGAAAGCTCTGTCGTTAATGAAGTCGTAGCTTAAATGAGTATTTGTGTGCAGTGTTGGGTGTAATGCATTCCAAAGTAATGTGTTACTATAATGAAATTACATTCTTCAGTAACACAGTAATGTAACGTGCTCTTGTACTAAATTCTATCATTAGATTAAAGTTAAAATGACGTTGTTACTAAAAGTTCTTCAGCTATCTACATGGGAGGCAGATAGAAAGGGGGAAACATAAAACATCAAACAAACTTTCTTTTTTTCCTGTGAACTTGTGCTACAATCAGATCATTTCAGTTTGTGTGCTAGAAGCAGAAAAATGGTGAAGTGGTCTTCAGCTTTTGATGAGTGGAGATGGACATTACTGCATCCAGGAAAGAAACAACAGCTTTGTACTACTAACATAACTTCGGCTCTTTGCAAAAATCTGCACAACCAGCATGCTAACGCAAAGCTAAAGCCCAGATATGTGTGCTGACCCCAGCCCAGCAGTCAGGCCCTGAACTTCAACAGGTAACAAAGGCAGTGATGAGCAGTCACGCTTGCAGCGCTGCAGCTTCCTTTTCAGCCTGTGCATTATAGAATTAAAGTAGAATCGCTGTGGCAATTGCTTTGAAGTGTCTTTGGGCTGTTTTTCAACTTTGCTTTGTTTTTTCAGCTTTGTGTTCATACATAAACACTGAAAGAAAGATCGTATGTGTGTCCTTATTAGAATAGGGATTTGTTTTGATGTAGCTTAAGTTATATCGTTAACTATACTGTTAACACATTACTGATGAGTAATGTGAAACTGATATATTGAATAATGCAACAGTTATGTACTGCACTTTCATTTCAAGTAATGACTCCGATACTGTTTCTGCACCAGTGTCAAACGCACCAGCCGTTTGAGTACAAACCAAATTCAGAATACCCCAAAATTCTGGAATCTCAAAATTCTGTATATTTCTACTCACAGAAATGCCAAAAATACATATCATATGGATTTCTGAATGTACTCCTTGGCTACTCACTTCCCCAAAATTGAGCATTTTAAAAGGAAGATTAATAAAAATAAGGAAATAGGAAAGTGAGACATTATCCTCAACGGTATGTGCTGTACCTTCTCTCTTCATGCCCATGGCTAAACACTTCTGGTAGCGACAGTACTGACAGCGGTTCCTCTGGCGTTTATCAATGACACAGTCTTTGTTGTCACGACAGGTGTAGGTCAGGTCTTTGCGGACAGTCCTTTTGAAGAAACCTTTGCAGCCCTCGCAGCTGTAGACTCCATAGTGTTTACCTGAGGAAAAGGGAAAAGAGATTGTTTGCTTAATGTTAGTTTTTGATCTTTTTTTTTTTTTGAAACATAAGGTGACACAGTACACATGGATTTGCTGAGTTGGCTGTTTTGCTGCTTCTTCATTAGTACACACCTATGACCTTACCAACTACAACACATTCGGAGAATTTACTGTGATTTCATGAACATGTTATTTACCATTCTATTGTGGTTACAATAACACAAACAAATACACAGAAAACACTTTGAAAGAACAAAATAAAAACTATGATCACAGACCCTTCTACTAACCCTTTGGTGATGAAGGAAAAGAGGCTCACTAAAGGGAATATGTGAGGGGGGGTGGGGGGTGGGGGGCATTCTAATATGGTGTTGTCTGACCCTGTTTCTAACAGCTCTTTTTTGTTATTTATGACGGATGGAGTCCATTTGGTTTCTCCAGTGTTGATCAAACTGTTTCTTTGTTAGCTCTCTGCTGGGTCAGACCACCAGAGAAGATAAATAAAGCCCCCGAGCACAGCTAAATGAAGCATGACTTGCTATTAAACATTGTTTTGATTTTCCCCCTTGGGTGCACACAGCACCAATGACGCAGGATGACAGTAAAACTGTCCAATGAATTAGATATCCACCTTTATCCAGAGGCTACAAACTTTTCATGGTTATCCCCAGCAAAAATTGAAACACATGGTTATTTGTTGGCAGTGTGGGAAAAAAAGAGATTTAAGACAACTCTACAAAGATGAGTGCTGTGAGAGTCATTTCCTCGGATAACCCGTGGTTATCTGTTCACCCACGGTTAATGTTCTTGTGGTTCGGGTGGTTAAGCTAGAAGTTGGCCAAATGATAGCCAATGTTTAAGAAAACTCTGGAGCAAGCTATTGTTCTTTGAGAAGCCAAAAAGGTTATTTACAATCTTTATTTATTGCGCAACCTAAAGTGCTACGTGAGAAAGTTTGATTTGGGACAAAAAAAGATTACTGAAATATTAAGGGTGCCAGACTTAAATGGAATTGTATGCCTTTTCTTGTAACACGTTATATTGACTTTGCTTTGTTATCGTTACCATCTTTCAGAGACTAATCAAAAAATAGCCTTAAACGACCACCCACCCACCCATCTATCTGTCCATCCATCCGTCCATTACTGCTTATCCATGTTTGGGTCAAGGAGTCTAAGGAGAGCTATCCAGGCCTCCTTCTTCCTGGTCCCTGTCTCTGCTCTTCTAGGGAGACTCCAAGGCATTTCCAAGATAGCCGAGAAATGTAATTTGTCTAGTTTCAGGTCTTTCCCAGGGCTTCCTCCTGAAAATCCACTAAACAGGCTCTGGTTGGGCAAACTCCCATGCACCCTCGAATATCCCGAAGAGGATAAGCAGCTTGTCCAGTGTTCCATGATAAAGACAAAACCACATTGTTTCTCCTGAACACACTGTAGACTATATCTTGTATCTCTATCTGAATATAATTTGCCAGTGTCTGAACTTTAACTGTGTTGAAATGAAAATCAGGAAACTCCAAAATCTGCCTCTATTATTCATTGTACTGACTGCTTCACAGTAGGGATGAATGATGAGTTGCGCATGGTCGCCTTCAGACATAGCGCTTTCTTGTTTCAGTAAAAAAGCGATTTAAGGTTATGTTTCATCCAATCAAGATGATCTTTTGCCACATGATTTAGGTTCCTTTCATGTGCGTTCCTGCTGCTGCCCTCACATGCTTTTCTTCAGGAGTGGCTTTTTTCTGGCTTCCCTGTCATTTAGCCCAGATTTTTAAAGAATTCTGATGACTGTTGTCTTTCCAGGAAGCTCTCCCACTGCAACAAGCTGCAGTATGTAGTTCTGCCAGAGCATACTGTGGGGCTGTTTTCTGACCGAAGTTCATGTGTGGATCTCCTCCGGAGGTTTCTCCATGTGGTTAGAGCCCAGGCTTGGGCAAGATGCTGTGTAGTCCTGTTTTATTTTAATTGGAAACAGTGCAATATTATGCAGTCTAAGCTGTTTAGATTTTTTTTAAAAATAATCCATCCCATGTCAAGTATCCCTACAATCTTTTAGATTTTTTTTTTTTTTAGAAATTTCTGATTGGGAAGTGATTTGTGAACATGTTCAAATAGTCACCTAAGTGCTAAGCAGTGCTAAATGGACTTACATGGAGACGTTTCACTGCTCATCTGGAGTTCTAAATGATTAGTGGGAATTTCCCAGAATTTTAAATACTGTAGTGTAGAGGTGACTCCATTGTGTCTGCTGCACACTGTTGAAGCAGCTGTTAAAATTTTTAGATGCAGGAGATGCAACATTCATTGTTCATCAATCCGTTGATGAACAATGGCATTCCGATCATTCAGACACAAGTTAATTTTGGTTTCCCCATTGACCCCATTGCTCTATTCTGTGACACAGAGAGCAAACTACGCATTTGTTTTTGCCATTAGTTACTCTTGTCGGCATCAACACAAGTGAATCACAGCCACTAAAGTCCTACAGTTAGCATTGCCTGCCTATTCATTAATATGACTGCAACCAGTTGGATGTGACTGCACCCAGTTGGGGGCAGACATCAGAAGGCCCATTTTGAGTAACTACCTATTTCAGGGTCTTCTCTTGTGTGTTTCTGGTTCTTGTTCCCCTCTACTCTTGTAAACCCCTTCTTATCCCAGAGGTGTAAGGCTCTTATAAACCCATACACTCCAATTTGAAGCTTCTCTCTAAAATGTGTAGTCCAAGAAGCCCCATCCATTTCCACTGACATCCTCCCAAGTGAACTTGGTGTTGCTGTTCACTGCACAGATGTGCTCTGTGAAAGTTTCCAGTTCCTGTGTTTTGATTTTCCTCCTTCGCATACCTACCTTTAAAAACAGTAATCTCCAGTGAAAATAACCTTAGCCATTACCGGTTCTCAAAAAGATTTCTGACAAGGTCAATTCTGACATTGAATTATTTTCATGCTTCCTTTGCAGACAGTCATCACAGTCTGATGTCACTCACCTGAGGAGCGGTCACCGCAGATGGCGCAGATGTGTTTGGTGAGTGACAGAGCTGTGCTCGAGGGCTGGGCAGGCACCTTCATCACGCCGTTGAGGCCCAGTGGAGGCTTTATGTCCTCCGTACTGCTGACAGAGTTCATTGGAGAGTTCAGCTGGAACATCAACACACAGAAACACACACGCCGACAAGTCACAATGCAGCCCGCTAAACTCAAAACATCAAAATCGCACAAGCACCGTCAAATAAATCACATAAGCTTAAGGTCAAATTCGCCAAGAAGATTATACACAATAAGGACATTACATGAAACTGGAGTCATGTCACTCAGGGAGTACTGAACAATCTGAAATGTACAAAACAAAAGGCATATTAAGACTACTGATGCGTAATATAGATGGTCAGCAGCCCTAGCAACACCTCTTTTTTCCTCTGTCATTTCTCCCTTTCTCTCTCCTCCCTCCTGTTCCCCTTGTTTTCAGATCTAAATCTGGCGCAGGAGGATCCTGCACCACTCAACCCCAGGAACTCTTTTATTCATGCTCTCAACAAGCCCTGCTGGCTCCAAAATGTTCAGCGCTAGCATAACTCTACTGCAAAATTGAACAGTACAGCAGAATAAAGAGACAGCATTTGTTTTAGCAGCAGCGCAACTGCAGCCCTAAGTCTAACTTCAATAGTTGCCTGTGTGTCTCTCTCTGAAGGAGCTTTGATAAAATTCATCCAAAAATGACCCCTCTTTGCTTTCTGCTGAAAGTGAAAAGCAAGGGGGAGGCTAATTATTATAACAAGCTACACGCTGTTTCTAGAGGAGATAAACGTTACGGGGAAATATATAAATTATTCACTAAATATACTGGATGGAACAGAAACAAGCCAACTATTAGTGGGAAAAAATGACTTCATGAAAAAAAGTAAAAGCACTAGTCTGATTGACTGTGCTAAAACCACAGTATTTTTACATGGGGGTAAGAAAGGGGGAAGGAAAACTGCATATAGTCAGACAAGTAGATTCTCCACAGGCACATTCATAACAGAGGGATGAGAGACAGAACACTATTGGCAGAGCAGAGCCAGATGTGTTTTTATTAAGTTACTACACATGAGAAATGTCTTATAGCACAAACACTTTCTGAGTTAAAATTAAGTTCATACTGTTGCAGAGGAACCCTGTCTATATCTGCTGGGATTAGGAATGACAGAAAAGCCATTTACATCTTATAATGACAAGGCTAACATATTTTGTCACTCTAAAACACACCCTAAGCCGTGTTTACACTCATCTGACAAAAGTACATTAGGAGCATAATGGAAGAACATAGAAAAGTATACATCAGGGCAAACAATGCCCTTTATTAGACGCACAGGACATAAACCAAACAGCCACTGAGTTAATATGCATGTTGGTAAGTGGTTACACAACTACAGTTGTAGCTGTGTAATATCTTTATAACTGGGAATTACAGAATCTCAGGTTTACATTGCTACAATTCATAGAAATATCACTTAGATTATACATGAAACTAATTAGGATATTAGCTAAAAATGCCTTGAAATTAAAATGGGTATTATTCTGTTTTTATTCAGAGTACACGAGTAAAGGTGGTGGACTTAAAAACTTTCAGGAAAAAAAAAGAGAAGAAATGTTTTAAGTGATTTTTTGCAAAATCACATTTACTGGATACACACGTGTGTCTCGGTGAGCACCAAATGGATTTTTTTATCCACATATTGTTAAAGGCAAAATCATACTGAATACTTAAAAGAAACAGACGGGCTAAAAATCAAAGGAGCTGTAGCTGAGATATACTGACTTTTAGTGAAGGGTCAAGCTCCAACAACCCTCCAGTCCAGAGTAGAGATGGCACGATACCACTTTTTTATGTCCGATACCGATATCATAAATTTGGATATCTGCCGATACCGATATGAATCCGATATAGTGTGTTTTTTAATCAATAAAACGTTTTTTTT